GTCTAGGACTGAGTCATGGTTTTTGGCATTTAATATTCACATAGAGAATCCATTTTTCATCACTGGTGACGATTCTGTCCAAAAAATTGTACACGTGCATTTCGTGCAAGAAGAGACGAAGCAACATTTACGTGTTAGAAACAATGATCATCAGAGAGTTTGTGAGGCACCCAAACACATTCTTTATGGAATTTTCCCATATTCCTTAGATGTTTACATATTGCTTCATGAGAGACATACAATTTCAGAGCCATTTCACAAGGGTGTTGCCTTGGGTTTGACTCAACAAGTGTCTTCAGAGCATCAATATAAATTCCAACATGTCGGCCCGTCATCACAGTTTTTAAGGCTAAAGTCACCTGAACAAAATTTGCTAAACCATTGTTGACACTTACCAACGTTCAAAACATTTCCATAAACTTCTTTGATATTCTTTGTGGCTACAGAGCCGTTGTTTCCTTCTTGTATTCAAACAGCATTACATGCCAATTGTGTATCTCGTCATGTGCCATCACTATAAGGGATTAGAGTATACTAAACTTTACACATTATATAGGCTATACTAACGTGACGTTTAGGCGGTTCATTTAACTATTATATGTGATGTACTTTTTTGGGGGGGGGTGTTAATTAAAGTGTTCCAAAACGTGACATTTTAGTAGAATTCCACAAAAACTATGACAGCAAAACAAAGTATTATCAAACATTTAAAGTAACCACTGATAGATATTTATATTATCAATTTGCAAGTTACTGCCAAAAAGATGTAAACAGTGCTTCCATTAGAAAAAAAAAAATACTAAATTTGAAATGTAGCACACAAAAAGGTTAATAACTTTAGAAGTTATTTCAACTTTGCTTCTTTTATGTGCTTTGGCTAAAACAACAGTTTTTGCAGCCTAAACTGCAATGTCATGCACATCATGTGAGAGACTTGGACCACAAACAGACTTTATAACTGACAAAACAGACAATGAATACACCAGTTCTTAGCATCTAGTAAACTAATGTTGTTGTTTTTAATTCTAGAATCTAAATACAGGTTTAAAATACAACATCTTAGAAAAATTATATCATAATTTTCTAACATACACACACTTAGAAGTTGTCATGTTAGAAAAAAACAAATAACAAATAACTGAGATACAATTTAAACTTTATATATATATATATATATATATTTTCTCTAGTCTAACAATATTATTATATTCCAGGTTTTACGATAAATACTTTTTTCATGTTTATTTGACATAAAAAAATTCCTTCAATACCATCACAAAACAAACCTGAGTCTGCAATTCATTCACAATCTTTCGTCGAGCCTTTAGTACAGCATCTTCCTTGCCGGTCACCAAGATAGTCAAGCTTTGATCCTTTGAAGAGCTGACCTCAATGTGAGCCCCAGTTTTCTGCATGATCTCAGCACAGGTTTTGGCTTGCTCTCCCTGCTCACCAAAGCGGTGTGTACTCATCTCCCTGTATTTTCTTTCTTCTAAAGGGACTCGAAACACCTGTAAAAGTTAAGGGAGAACATTAGTCTTATACTAGTTACAGGTAACAGCCACAAAGATGCTAAAAAAGCCTGAAAAAACTCTTTTGAAGTGTTTTATCTTATTATAAGTATTTCATAACTTTATAACACTATTTATATTATAATCTTTGAGTGAAGATTTATAGATTAATCAGATAACTAGTTGCAAAACAGAAAACCATAAAAATGTTTAAGAATGCAAATTTTTGTCTTCTTAACATAAAAATTACAGTCTAATAACAATTAACTTTAACTTCTAATACATTACAACAATGGAATGTAAAATTATTTCAATGTTTGACCAAAGACATCTAATGAAACATTTTGTTTCCAAATTTTTTTACATTTTTGAACTTAAAATATTTGCACAAGATTTACTTAAGTGTTATCTCTCAAAATTAAATAGCATACATACACTGCTTAATAGACAATTATTAACATATAATACAGCAGGGTAATTATGAACATGTGGAAACTTCCTGAGAAAGGTTACCACATAGTGTTATGTGTCAAACTCAAAACAAGGTTTTACTGACCTGTTTTGTTGACCAGGGAAAGTTGCTGCTTCAATAATGGAAATAAAAGAAGAAAATTGGTCAGTAGTGAAAAATACATATTACAAATTGCAAACTATGTCTGGACTAGAAAGGTCTTCATTAACACAGTACTTGAAAAGACAAAATATACCTGTGTTATGACAGAGCTTCGGACTTTCATTTGTCTGTTCCATTGTCCCAGGTCAGTCTGCGGAGCCATCTGGATCAGCTCCTTCTCTGGAAGAGCTGGAAAAAGGTCGTCATAGTTGTACACAGTCTGAGGTGTGTATGCTTCACTATCTCCCAGAGACAAGCCCTTCAGGCTAGCATCTGGAATTTCCTCTTCTGTGCTTTGATAGGCTGCAGAATGTTGAACTGCATCCATTTTAAGGGCCGGTTACACGTGCCAAGTCGAACAGTACAGCTAAAAAGATTAAATAATTCACAATTTTCTATAGATACATAATACCTGTACAGATTACACAAACCACTGTTTAAAAAAACAACAACACTGCATACAAGCCAAAACACAAATTACATTAAACTTGAATTTGATTATCGTAGATACCCGATTGTTTATGTACAATGTAATTAACATATATTTTTTATTCATTTTTTAACACAAACTATTGACCAGACACTTACATAACTTCATATATATTCAGTGGAATGCTCACAACAACATCTCTGGACTTATAACACTGAAATTGCATTACATTGCAAGACTACAAGTTATGAAATAACTTAGAACCTTATCAAAGAACGATCTAAGCTTCACAGCCAGGTCTCACTATCAAACAGTCATAAAAGTGTGGACAAACATACATTCATTACGAGATAGTACAAGTTTCAACTGTCTAACCCTCGAATCCAATCTCAACTCAACTTAAATACACTATCTCTTCTTGTATTTTATTAACTGTTGAGGTAGCAAAATTGTCATTCCACTGATATTCTCAAGAGGGCTGTTTTAAAAATCTAAACAGTATACAGCAACTTTGGGCATCTACCATGAAAAAACATTAAAACAACACAGTTTGAGACCTAACCAAAGCAGAATTAGAGATGTAAATTCTTATTTGAGGATACGGGTTATAAGTATTGTTGTATGCCATGTTATTGTATTTTAATTTAGATATTTAGTATTGTTTGCTAGAGGGAGTTTTAGCATAACATGATGATACCAAATCTAAAATTTCTTGAATCTCTAGATTTGACATGATGTCTCAAATTTCTATGAAACATGGCAAAACAAATATTGGGAAGAGTATAAACAGCCCTTTCCAACACAAAATATTCAAACACTCGGATAACAAAAATGTGTTTAAGTCAGAGATTTATAATATCCAATACAAGGATATCCCTTGTACTTAATGGCATTGGAAAATGAACATGGATCAACTTAGGATACAAGTACCATCCAGAAAGAGACCTGCAACAAGTCATAATCCACCCATAGTAAGCAAAGTTCAGTGTTTTTAACAGATAAGAATCTATGAACACAAAGGTCAGTTGCAAAAGCCACCCATGTGCTCTAGGCAACAGTATGCAATATAATCAAGAAGGGTCTCTGGAAGAACAAAACAAGCCACTTCCATAACATATCCATTCAATAGTCACATATCTCAGCAGTTGAAGAATAAAATGGGTTTCTATGCTTTTCCAAACAAAGACATGCCAGTTAAGCCAACAGATGCAGTGTCTGTGAATTTCTGTGAGACAAAACTGTTGATATGGGCACCAGAAAACTACTGTCCTCGTATGCTAGGTGAATTATGGAAACCATGTACAGAGTGGTGTGCTTTTGGACATCAAATCCTTATAACGGAGCCTTCTGCAATGGAAACTATGTTACAGAACAATTGTCAAGAAACATAATCAGACAGAGAATGACTTCATGTGGGAAAATAGAGTAATGACATGATGAAACTCCCAAGTAGGTTTAACATAACATACACAACCTCAATTTAACATCCAATACAGGACCTCACTTTGTGCACTTACATGAAACCAATCTAGCATATCACTTTGTGCACCTAGTTTACATCCAATACAGCATCTTATTTTGAGCACCTACATGAATCCAGTCTAGCATCTTACTTTGTTCACCTAGTTTACATCCAATTTATCATCTTACTTTGTGCACCTAGTATACATCCAATACAGCATCTTACTTTGTGCACCTAGAATACATCCAATAAAGCATCATACTTTGTGCACCTACATAAATCCAGTCTAGCATCTTACTTTGTGCACCTAGAATACATCCAATAAAGCATCTTATTTTGAGCACCTACATGAATCCAGTCTAGCATCTTACTTTGTGTACCTAGAATACATCCAATAAAGCATCTTATTTTGAGCACCTGGATGAATCCAGTCTAGCATCTTACTTTGTGTTTCTACATAAATCCAGTCTAGCATCTTACTTTGTTCACCTAGTTTACATCCAATATAGCATCTTACTTTGTGCACCTAGTTTACATTACATTTAGCATCTTACTTTGTGCTCCTAGTTTACATCCAATCTAGCATCTTACTTTGTGCACCTAGTTTACATCCAATCTAGCATCTTACTTTGTGCACCTAGTTTACATCCAATCTAGCATCTTACTTTGTGCACCTAGTTTACATCCAATCTAGCATCTTACTTTGTGCTCCTAGTTTACATCCAATCTAGCATCTTACTTTGTGCACCTAGTTTACATCCTATACAGCAACATATGTTCTACACATATTAATCATATATATTGAAAGTGTCTACTGACATCTAGTCATTTTGATAGAGACAGTATGCACACGTTTCAGTTAGGCATAAAAATTTACACAATCAAAATACGCATTTGTTTGTAATCAAGCACAAAGCTACACAATGGGCTATCTGTGCTCTGCCCACCACGGGTATCCAAACCCGGATTCTAGTTTTGTAAGCCCACAGACATACTACTGTGCCACTGGGGGGCACAAAACATGTGAATCACTGATAGATATATATATATATATATACATTTTGAAAGCTTTATATAAACTTCTATTGCATAAATTCCCTAATTAAGTTACAGATTTAAGAAAATATTTAAAAAGCTGTAATTCTAATGATACAAAATTTCAATAGTTTATTAGATGTATATTAAATGTTTATCAAAGCGTGGCTATAAATAGCAACTAATCACTGGCTATCATCTGCGTAAACAGTTCAAAATGTCTGCCTAGTAGAGGTACAGTGAAAAGCTATATGAAAAATAAAATTTTAATAGTTATCAATGATAAACAATTGATTAATTAAGTGTGCTAAAAAAGTAAATGTCATATGAAACTCAAAAAATTTGGTTCATCTGAAAATCCAGTTGTAATTCCATTTTAGAAGTGTAGCCACTGTCAATTTTTTGATAAATATAGTTTGCATTTGAAATTTTCAGTAAAGATGTGGTTCTTCCACAAGGCTTTTTATGCTACATGAAATGTAATCCTGGTTCTAGACCATTCTGTTGGTAACCTAGGCCTCACAGAAATGTTTTTGAAATAGATTATAAATTGTCTTTAACTAGCACTTGTTTAAATGTAGTTAACAAGTTGATTACATCATACCAATCTTGTTTGTTTGTTTGTTTTTGAAATTCGCGCAAAGCTACACAAGGGCTATCTGCACTAGTCATCCCTAATTTAGCAGTGTAAGACTAGAGGGAAGGCAGCTAGTCATTATCACCTACCACCAACTCTTGGGCTACTCTTTTCCCAACGAACAGCGGGATTGACTGTCACATTATAATGTCCCCACGGCTGAAAGGGCGAGCATGTTTGGTGGGACTAGGATTCGAACCCTCGACCTTCATATTCCGAGTCGAGCACCCTAACCACCTGGCCATGCCAGGCCCATACCGATCTTAGTACTTAACCATGTACTTTAAAGTCATTCAAAAAACATTCACAAAATATAAACAGTGTTCTGATATTATAATATCTGTAATTTAGATGACCTTTTTATGTTACTTAAACAAATTATTTTTTTTATTCATAATGAAACTATATAGTGCATTCTCAGCTTTTCCTGGCTCCCAATTTAATGTTTCTAACAGGCTATTATTTATGTTAACATTATTTTTCCTTAAGTTCAATAAAATTATATTTCACTAATTTTTCAGTGAGCAGCTTATTTGTAGAAACATATTAACATGTGAATTGATCAAAGACAGCATAATAACAAATATAACATACATTTTATTTTAGAAATGCATAAATTTACAAGATTTATTGCTCTATTTAGATTCTGTTATTTATGTTTTAATGTAAGGTTTCTCACATGCACAGCACATGAAAAAAATTAAAACAAGATACATTTTATGGAAAAACACCCTTAAAACTTTAAATATTATATATTTATTATGGAGTCCCAGTTGAATTTAACATGTTTGGTATGTAGCTACTTTACTCCTTCAACTGAATGTTCATACTCCATATGTTCCAGCTATCTATCCTTCTTCATTCTATATTTGTGTACCAGGCATGCCACTTTCAATGCTCTGTCTTATACACTTCTGCTTACTCTCTGTATTTACCTCTAATTGATATTGTTTTTGCTTTTATTCTTTTAGTTCTCTCGTTCATTGCAGTACATTTTTGTAAGCCGCAGTCATCCCTCAATAGTATTATTGCAACTTGCCCTAAGCCAATACTTTACCATCTGAATTGAAAAAAAGGTTTCAATGTTCATCTTGCTTGAGTTAAGATTAATTACATCACCCATGACATTAAAGGATGACTCGACCAAGGTGCATTGAAACACACTAAGCACAACACAAGCTACTGTTGGAGGCAAATCGTACTTGTTAGCCAACAAATATGAGGTTCTACCAAAAGTAATTTGTGTTGCGTTAGTTTATAATGGTAGTCTAGTATTTATCTACATGACTATTTCATCCCATTAGGTTGTAACTAGCTAACATTGTTGTACCTCCATCTCAAACAATACTCACTCATTTTGAGTTAGTAAACTGTAAGTAAAGATGGTAAGTTCTTTATGGCAGACACTGTGACCTTTCACAAAAGGATAAATGACAGTTACTGCAGAAGAGGACTGGTCAGAGGAGGTTGTTTTTTGCAAGTTCTGGCCACAGATATCATATGCAGCATGAAACTGTTGCAGAAATTTCTTAAAAACAGAGTCATCTATAATACAGCTGTCCTCAACAACAATGTCAACAAAAATTTTTAGGACAAGAAATGGTCATTATCTGTAGACAGATCTAGTCACTTTGCACTCTTTCCTACTATTTCTTCTTGCATTTTTTTCTTGTTTGTTATGTAATTTGTGTACTACTGGTTTGGTGTTTGAAACACACAGATGTAGTTCTTCAGCAGAGGCAAAACAGCTGAATAAAAATATAGTATTAGCAATGTTCTTTTCTCTTGGAATAGAATTCTCTACTTTCCATCTTCAGTAAGTTTTCTTTTACATATATGGCAGTGCATATTTATGAGCTTTTTCCTTGCTTATTTACCTACTTGCATCTAGTGTCTTGTATATATAGCCAACATTGATGACATTCTATCAAATACACACCTGTTAATTAGAAATATGATCACAAAGGGATAACTTCTTCTGTGTTGGCAACACGATTCAGTACTAGGTTTGAAGTGACACTGTGGGTTTTGAAGCAACAGAGATCACATAGTTAGTTAGTTTGGTTTCTAGCTTTTGTTTATGTTTTACAATCTTGCAGTGTCCTTCTATTTTCTTAGCATTTATCACATCATTACAGTCTATAGACAATATTTTCCCAGCGATGACCACTTTCCATACACACTCTCCAAACATACAAGTCATGTTGGGAACATTTCCTCCACAGTTCACCTCAACACTAACATTTTTCCAACCACATCCATTTGAAATGTTTTAATAGATTTCTTCATCTCCAAGACTGATAAAATCACTTTTTTCCCTAAACTCTAAAAAAACTTTAGTGTCTATACTTTAATTTCTTGGGATGTCTGGGGTAACAGAAAACAGATTTATTGTATTACCCACCACTGATTTTAACCTCCTACCTATTTAAGTTCTGATTAATACTAGTTGTGTAAGTTAGGTGTGTAATATGACAACATTAGTGGTTAAGTTGCATTAGTTTTTGCAAACTATATTCATCACCACATTTAGATTAATGAAACTTGTAGCATTTACATTTCACCTTTTATAGAAGATTTAACTATTCATTAACAAGTTGAGCATGAAGTAAAAAAAATCAATAAATTACTAATTGAGAATTCATGTAAAAAAAATATTAAATTAAATAATGAAAGTAGTAAGTTGGAAACATTCATGAAAAAAAAATCAAGTTTTTCCATAACAAGTAATGTGTTACAACATTAATAAATGCTTAGTTACTAAGCTAACTGAATAACAACTCAATTATTTATTCACATGTTGCTGTATTATTGACTGGAGCTATGATGTAGTTTCCATACAGTGCAGCTACTGCACGATATGGGATGATGTGAGCAGCACAAATACACGATGGTACATCTCTGCATATTTCAGTATCTAACCAGCGAGTGCTGGAAGTCCAGAAGGAAGCCACTGCAAATAGGAATCTTTGATAATAGGTTATTTTTATAAATATGACTGTCTGTTGAGGTAGACATTTGGCACTAAGGAGGGCTGAAAGCTAGTGTTATGCCACATAGGTAAGATATAATCTATTCTTTCTTTGTAGTTCCTTTTTATTAACAGTGAGGGAACTCGACTGATGAAACAATTCATTCTAATCATTTTAGGTAAATACATAAGAAAAGTATATTTAATTTGATATACTGATGGCCAGATAGAAATTAATTTTTTCTCTAAGTTCTTAGCTTATAACTCTGCTTGTTGTTAAGTTAAAAGCTACACAATGGGGTATCTGTGTTGTGCCTACCATGTGTATTGAGAACTGATTTTTAGTGTTACAAGTCATCAGACTTACCACTGTGGAGCATTCTTGACTGATTTATTCAAACATGTCAACAAAAACATATATATATATATTTTTGTAATTGACAGGAAGTATCCCACAATTCACTGCACGGAACTCGCAAGTGGAGTTAATGATTTTTTGTACTCATTGGGATCTACGGACAGGAGATTCTGATTCACCCCCAAGTATTTTCTGAATGGATTTACAAGTTTCTCAGAAATGATCTTCGGTGGACCACAAAACTTGGAAGTCACAAAATTCATAGAAAATTATCATGCATATCTAAATCAGCAGTTGTTGAATGTATTGTTTTTATATTTGGTTTTATCCATTTAAAACACAACAAATATATAAATTATACAACCATAAGTTAATTATCAATACTTTATATTTTAAACATGTTCCAAATTTTTGTTCTAACCATAATTTCAAACCATGTGGACTAACACACAAAAAAAGAATATACATGAAATTAAAGATCTATATTAATTCCCTACTTTCTAGTTAGTTCTTTCAAGTAAACATGAAAAATCAAACTTAAATGTCTTATATGATTCACTGCACTATTTCTTACTAAAGATTGCAGAGCAACAACATGTCTGGAAACGTTAAATTGATTTCATGTAAAATGTTAACAGTAACATAAATGATTTTGATTTTATGCATAAAAATTTATGTCATTTATCTGAGATAAATATGCTCAAAAACAATATAACTGTAACAGTTTTACGTTGCTTTCTTTTTTTAAACTCAAAATGTCTCGCTACAATTACCTTCACACTTGACCATACTTGATAAAAACAAAATTAATATATCCAGGTCTGGGATAATTTTTTAACTGCTTTTAAAATATTATAGAAGATATTAATAAAAAATCAGTTTTTAAACCCACTTTCCTTGATTAATCTTTATTTTTAAACTATACTTGATATATAATGCTATTAGTACAACCTGACTTAAAATCAAATTTACTGGGATCAAGTATTCAATAAGTATTGAAATCTTTGTTCAATATTTAAAAAAAATAATAAAAATAAAACTAACAAGCTTGATAAAAATGTTATATTTCTGCTAACTTGCTCTACAAAAACGTGTTTCTAAGATTCTAATTTCTTATAAAACACCAGATTTTTCACACTTAAAATTAACAAGTTTAACATTTACAAATAATAGGGGATCCCTGATTTACGAATACGATTTCTTCGTTAAATTGAGTTAAAACTTAAAGAAATCAATACAATTTGTATTAAATGTAAGTCAACTAGTATGAAAAGTTTACAATAAAAACACCTATTAATCTCGAAATTCATATTTAACAAAACCTCGACTAATTCCATAAAACTAAATTTACTAGGAGTAGGACAAACAAGTATGGCCCATTCGCCGACGTGTCACCTAAATCCCAACTCTACCCGACTACGTTTGTTCATCATTTAGTCAACTACGTTCAACATGATGAAGATATGAGACCTACCGTACTGTGTACAGGAAAGGCAGTCCTAGAAAAAGTTAGAAGCACCCGTTTCCAGATTTCGTCTCCTATCGATTTATTCTGTAATATAATACATAAGTTAATGTTCCATTAAACTATTCAATAATAAATATAACCGCTTATAATTGAAAACAAACTATAAAAACGAATCGTTATGCATTTACCTACAAAACCAACTAACCTCACAACCTCGTCTCCTGATATCGTGCGTTCAGCATGAGTTTACTCACTCCCATGTCCAAAGCTTGCATGATACGAAACATCTTATTGGTTAATTTTCGAGATATGTGGCAATTTTAGTCCAATTCCCTTATCGGAAACAAAATCGAGCTGATAGTATTAAAAGACCCGGCATAAAAACTAAATAAAAATACATATTATTTATTCTGAAAAACTATTCTGTTAAGATTTCATATTTAAAATAAAAACACTCTTAAAGAAACATAGAAATTATACTGTTTTTACTGGCACAATAGATTTGATGTAAACCCAAGCTGAAGAAAAGATTGCTTTTAACATGCGTTTCTTCAAATTGTTTTAATATGAGGACCCAGACGAATTTCATAACTGTATAAAATTAAAACGTCAGGCGAAGCTGAACAAAGAAATTACCATTGTGCGGCCCTAAATTAAGTCCCAAGCTACCGTCGCCAACAGTACATAATAGAAACATACAATGTGCATAAATCATGTTGCTGAGTAATTTAGTAATGTCTAAACTATAAACGAAAAATAAATATGTCTAATTTGATTTAGTGTCAAATCAGTTTTAATTAAGTCGAACTACTACAACTAAGACTCTTATTCAAATTAATTTTAACATTTTTTCACAGGTGATGTAGGTGGCAAAATACACACCATACCTATTGGCATATTTAAATAAAAACGAATGGTTCTTTTATTCAAGTATTTGTTTGTTTCAGAATTTCGCGCAAAGTTTCACAAAGGCTATCTGTGTATAGCTTTTCAACAACTCCCACCACTAACTTCTGGGCCACTCCTATCTGACCAAAAATGAGGATTAGTTATTCTCTTATAATGCATCCGTATACTTAAAGTGCGGATAGCGTTTCTTTTTTTTTCCAGTAATCATTGAATTCATAGTCCCGTCAAGCTAACGACTAGACCATGCTCTGCCATATTCTTCATCTAATTCCTTCCACCTAAAACTAAAAGGATAATATTAATTTACCCCCTTTTACAAAATGGATATCAACATACTGAAAAATTACAAATACAGAAAATACAATCATACCTAATAAAAAAAAGAAGACCTAAAAGGAAAAGGTTAAACACTTGGGCTTCTTTTTTTCTTTTCTGGAGCGTAGATAAAATACCCGTGATTTGATTCGGGTTTTTAGTGTTATGGATTGTCTAGCACAGCTACTCCTACTTGTGACATTGAAGAGCAGAAAGACATTAATGACATACTTGTATTTCTCTAAGGCTTCTTTCTGATATGTACCTTTACATAAGAAAAAATAAACATCCAACTAATACAATATTTGATAAATTAATGAAAACATTGACGTTTCGCTTATATATACATAAATGAGACTTAGCAAAGGAGAAAACGTTTTAATCTAATCAAAACATAAAGTCATACAATTTGGGCATTGTTGTAATGAGAGCTAAAAAACAATTAATTTTTTTTAAATGCGACATAGTTACCGAGTGAAATAAAAAAACAAATTATCCGTAACCTGTACGTGGAAAACAGAAACATTTATAAAAACTTGTATTAATACTGTTAGATGAAGCTTTTTATTACAGGCTGTGAGCAAACATGCGAATTTATAGTA